TTGCAGCATCAGCAGGGGCACTATAAATGGGGGCAAAAGGACAAGACAAGGCTCAGGCTGTGTTTAGTTACTGTAGCATTTATGGTTAATTATGGACTAATTAGTCTTAAAATATTTGTCTTGCGATTTCTAATTAAACTGTGCAATTAGTTTTTTTTCGTCTATATTTAATACTCCATACATGTATCACAAGATTCGATATAATAATTTAGGATGAAATTTTTTGGCAACTAAACCAGGCCTTACTCCCTTTGTCCCGTAAATCCGATCGTTTGGGAGGAAAGCTCCTGTAACAAGGAGAGCGGTGAAATACCTACGTACCTTTACCAGTAGTACAAGCAACACAGAAAAAGCTGTATTAAATGTCCGGTGTACGAGAGGTGGGAAGGAATAAAGCTGCAACATTAGATGACTGAACATGCACAGTGCCTACCCATAGGTCTGGTAACATAGCTAAGCGAACACTTTTTATAGGATAAAATTTAAATCCAAAATAACTTTTTTTATGGAACGAAGAAAGTACCACTTACAATGTAGGTATGGGGGCAGCTCAAGGATCTTATGTCTTATTTAAATCCAGGGTGTAATATTTTTTAGTGTCGCATCGGGTGTCACATAGAGGTGTTGCATGGGGTGTTCAGATACTAATAAAAAAACGAATTACAGAATCCATCGGTAATCTGCGAGACGAATTTATTAAGCATAATTAATCCGTCATTAGCACATATGTTACTGTAGCACTACGTTGTCAAACCATGGACTAGTTAGGCTTAAAAGATTCGTCTCGTAAATTAGTCGCAAACTATGCACTTAGTTATTTTTTTAATCTATATTTAATACTCTATATATATGTCTACAAATTCGATGAGATAGAAAGTAAACTTTAGAAGGAGAAACTAAACCAGTCCTAGTCACCACCACCACCACCACGTACACCATCCTGCATGCATCCATGGCTCGGGTCGGGACCAGCTGGTCAAACAGCCATGGCCGGCCAGTTGGCCATGGGAGAGAGGCCAGAGGGACGACCCAAACCCAACTGATTGACCTCCAGCTCCAAACAAAACCTTGTGGCTCACCCAGCAGCACGGGCTGATTGCAGCAATAATAATCAGAGCATCAGCAGATAAACTTGTGTTATGATGGCCTGACTTGCAGCACCAGGACGCTGCTGGTTGCCCCCTACACACCAACACAAGATCCCAATTGCATCTCCAACTACACAAGAGCGAAAAGTTGTCGAAATAATTGTTAGGAATGTCTGGTACGATGAAATGCCACCTCAAAACTAGCTCAAAGTACAAAGGCAGGCAACATAGGCTCCGTTCGTTTCGCTGAAAAAAAAATCGAAACACTATTCCGATTAATTTGTTGTGAGAGAAAAATATTATTTTAACTGAAAAAATAAGCTAAAAAATACGGATTATAAAACAAACAAACAGAACCATAGAGCATAAAGGAGATGACACATGAACTGAATCTACTTTCCGGTTTCTGGTAACCGGATGATACAGCTCACTCTATACAGAGGCATACACAGCCAGCCTATCCTGGTTGCTCCATGGCAATCAGGAAGGTGAAATGTGTTTTTTTTTTAAAAAAAAGAGGCATCTATGAATAAGACATCTCTAAATCTGCAGCGCTGCGTATCCAGTGCAGAGAGCTCCCGCTCTATGCGAGGTCTAGGAAAGGGTGTCAGTGGCAAACCTTACCCTCGCCTGTGCAATGCGAGGAGACCACAACTCAAACCCGGAACCTTCTGATCACGGACAGTAAAACTCTACCACTTGCACCAGGCGGCCTAGACTGAATGCAGTTGCTGGTCCAGCCATTATGAATATGGGCAGGAGAACCATCCTCAGATCAGTGAGTCGTATGGCGCCCTATTCAAACGAACTCATGCAGGCACGGTGCAATCCTCACTCACATATTATGAGTAGATAAGCGTGGTGTGTGCTTGGCGGCCATTCATCAATGAGATAGGTATGTATGTCAGAAAATGATCTTCAAAATCAGGAGGACTATCATGATGAAGATCAGAATGACAAGGACGGTGGCACACATCACCACGACCCCTTTCTCCGTTCGCTTGTGCTTATAGGTTATAATACAACATTTTTCTCTCACAACGAAAACAACGTCAACCAATTTATAAGGCACGTGAACGATCAACCGAATATGCCAAAAACAGACGGACCAAGATATTAGACTGCAAGGTTCAGGTACTGATGCAGCCATCAATTTTTCTTTATTTCAAGAAACACTATTGGGTACTACATAATGCATAAAGTAGAGAGAGATCATAAAGGCACAAGACAGTGCCTGCGGTAAGCAGTAAACTGAAGGGTTGGTTAAAAATTTACTGCCCCAGTCGTGGAAAGTCATCTTTTACAACAAACAGGGAAATAAACGCAGGGTGGTAGTATGTTTTAATGACAATAAGGATATTTAGAGATGATAATATACCAGCTAAGGTGGTGTTTAGTTACTCCTCCTAAATTTTAATTGTTATCCCATCGAATATTTGACACATGTATGGAGTATTAAATATAGACTAATTACGAAACTAATTGCATAGTTTGCGACTAATTTGCGAGACGAATCTTTTAAGCCTAATTAGTCCATGATTTGATAACGCGGTGCCACAGTAAACATATGGTAATGACAGATTAATTAGGCTTAAAAAATTCGTCTCGTAGAGTACCGACGGATTATGTAATTTGTTTTTTTATTAGTATCCGAACACCCCATGCAACATCCTTCCGACACACCTTCTAAATTTTAGTCACTGAATCCAGACACCACCTAAAAAGGTGAAATATCTTAAACGCATGATTTCCACCAATGACAAATTTATGGGTACCCTGAAGGCATATAACAAAGGACCGAATGTCTACACACTTAAATCCATTCTACAGAATTGTATACAGCAGAAACATTACTACTAGTGAGGGTAAATATGATTCAAGGATGAAACCTTTTGCAGTTGTTTGTAACCCTCCTCAACTGAAGCTGCAACGTTCTGTATGTTGTAGTCTATCCGATCGATGATGGTTCCCTGTTTGAAGTAAGAAATCAAGAGTCTGGTCCGGTTTCATGTACCTGATCAATCACGAGAACTGAAAGATCCTTCATGATCTAATCCCAATAGAGAAGAGATACAAGGGGCAATGCGGATCTTAGCGGCTTTTGCGCAGGCTTCGGATTTGGTCACAAACTTCTCCAAATGTGCAATTTACCCCGTGGCTTGTTCTTCTTTGCAACTGGAAGGACTGCTAGATGTCATCCCTTGTGAAGTTAAAGCCTTCCCTTGCAAATATTTGGGCTTGCCGCTACACACCAGAGCGTGGAGGAAAGTGGATGTGCAGCCGCTAATTGACAGGATAGCCGCCAAGCTTCCTGCCTGGAAAGCCAAGTTCCTGGACCATTTTGGTCGCTTGACTTTGGTTAATTCCATGCTAACGTCTATGCCAGTTCACTTAACAGTTTTTGCTCTAAAAAAGTGGGCAATAAGGAAGATTGATAGCATTAGAAGATCGTTTCTGTGGAAGGGAGCAGCTTCAGCAAATGGGGGCCATTCAGCCTGTTCGCTTGTTGGTTTCAGCCAGCTCAAACCAGCTAGCCAACAGTATTTTCCTCTCATAAAAAACCAGCACTAGCCAGTCCAAACCAGCACCAGCACCAACCAGCGAACATGCCCATTGTCTGGTTCGCTGGCCAAAAGCGACAAGACCAAAAATTCTTGGTGGCCTCGGAATTCTTGATCTGGAGAGATTTAGGGCATGTTTGGTTCGTCTAGTAGCTACTAAATTTAGTAGCTTTTAGTCACTTTAGTAAATTTTCAACCAAACGCTATGACTAAAAGCTACTAAAAGAGTTTTAATCCTCTCTAGTAACTCTGGAGTTACTAAAAATGACTAAACCATTTAGAAGCTACTAAAGTTTAGTAGCTCCAACCAAACACCCTCTTAGTGGAGCACTGCGGATGAGATGGCTTTAGCAGGATTGGGCAAGCCCAGACAGACCATCAGCGGGGACTGCTGCACCATGCGATTCAGTGGACAGGGCATTTTTTCTAGCATCAACGGTGGTCACGGTGGGAAGGGGAGATAAAGCTCTCTTCTGGCATTCGTCGTGGGATGGCCAAGCTCCCATCTATCTTGCGCCTAGTCTATTCAAGTGGGCCTGGAGGAAAAATCAAACGGTACAGGATGGTCTAATAAATCAAAGTTGGACAAGGGGACTATGGAGGATGGAGACCGTCCAGGAAATGGCTGAGTTTGTCAAGTTATGGGACCTGGTACAAGCCCAACAACTCAATGACCAAGACGATCAAACCCGTTGGAAATGGACAGCGGATGGCAACTATGCAAAATCAGCGTACTTGGCTCAGTTCATGGGGTCTTACTCGGATATAATGGCGAATTCAATTTGGAAGGCTCATGCTGAAGGCAAACTCAATTTTTTTACGTGGCTTACGGCTGATAAGCTAGCGCTGAGGCATTGGCCTTGCAACCCAATCTGCCCGCTTTGTGGTCAGGATGCAGAAACAGCTGTCCATCTTTGCATCCATTTCCCTTTTGCAAAAAGAAGTGTGGATGCTTGTCAAAAATTGGGTTGGAGACCACATTACTGACATTGACAGGGACGTGCAGTGCAGACTATGAAAATCTGGTGGGAGAAGTCACTACAGGGAAGATCAATAACTCAACAAAGAACAACAGCAGCCATCTTGATGTACTCAGCCTGGAACATTTGGAAAGAGCGAAACCAGAGAACCTTCGAGGGGACAACGCAGACGCCGGCTCAAGTGCTGCGGCTGATCAAGGATGAGCTGGGCCTCTTCAGTAGAGCACTGGGAAAAATACAGTTACCGCCATGAGTCCTTTCTTTTATGCTACCTGCCTTTTGAGTTTGAGTGGTTTAGCTATGTAATAACCTTTAAGCTGTAAACTGGATTCTTGCTCCTCTCATACATGATATAGCAGTGCTCCTGCTGATTATTCCAAAAAAAAAATCTGTGCAAGTTCGTTGACTGATTCAATAACCTTCAAGCCACAAGCAGACAGCAATAATAAACAGACTTCAGGAATTAGGAACATGTGCTGTCAAAAAGAGAATACATATAGTGATTGACACAACCATCAAATAAAAAGAAAAACTCACCTGCTCAATTTCTCTCTCCCTTTCTCTAGTGAATGCTTGGCTTTTCTTAAGTTTTGACATCTGAACCCTAGTGAAACCCTGCTATAACAAAATACAGTTATGAATTACATCAACAACTTATATAAACTTTAAAGAACTAGCTGCACTTCACATCATCTGTTGGTCTGGATCTCAACAAGTATATATTCTTATAACACAATAAATTCAAACCCAACCAAATGTATCATGCATGGATAAACAAAAATTCCAAAAAAGAAAGAAATGGAAAACTGACGCAATAAAAGATAGATTGTGCCAAAGAATTTACTAAAGCAACTTTGAATCAGTTTTGGTTACATTAACCAACCATCTAACACCGTTAGTCACTTAGTCCTTCATTGCAGGACTATATTCTGGATGGTGAATGCAGGGTTGTGCTGTTATGTTTAATTGGACAAATGTAGTTTGCTACAAGGAAGTGACAGAATCTTCTTGGATTTTACTCACATATATCATATACAGTATATATTACTAGTCAAGTGCCCATCTCTTGCAATGGACCTCAAATAACGATACCACAGCCTATAAATGAAATGGAGTGGACCATGCCCTGTTCAATCAGTTCAAAGTTCCTAGGTAGAAGGACAGGGGATATTCTAGGATATGCATGGGTAAGGACCAGGTACTACCCTGGTGCTTGCCATATCCAATCTTATTCCCCGTTCATGATCTATTTTATGCTATCCAAAGCATGTGCATTTACAGTCAAAAAGAAAAAAAAAGGTGTGTGTGTTGTAGGCTGGGAAGTGTTCTCCATACACAGATGTGGACATCAACCGTGCTAATATAAGGTTTGAGGGAGGCATAATACATAATTATCCATCTCCACCAACAAATTTAAAATCAGCATCCAGCCACAGCCACAGCATGGAGGGAGAGAACTGAGTTACCCATATTGACAACCCGATTTCAACACTCACTTATGAACTGTATAACTAACCCAAATAAACACAAACACAGGCAGAACTCTGTTGTTATTATTTCGTCTTTTACCTGTCATTTTTCGATTTCTGTTTATGCACATAGAGGGAAGCATGTCCAGCATCTCCCCCCCAACCCACCCACCCAAAACAACAACGCAGCTAGCACTCCTCTTGTTAATATCTAATAGGCAGCTAACATCTCATATCTAATAAAGAATGACTCATAGTGCACCAAATTTGATATAAGTTAGTATAGGCACTCCTCGTGCTAATATGAAATATGCCGAGATAAAAAGAATCACCACAATCAGGTATACAGCATGTAAAGACCAAAATAAAACATACCACATCCTCAAACTCATCGTCTTCAAATGTAGACTTCGTCCCATTTATATTCATTTCCAAATCAACACCGTCCTGACCCTACAGGGGTATTCATCAACAAAGCATACGAGTCAAGGTTGGACAAGCATTCTATCAGCACCTAATTATCTGATGACAACAGAAGGGGACCTCTTTTTGTTAGCGAAGCTGCTTTAAATATGACGACTGTTTTTTTCGGAACTCCATCGACAGGTTTTGCAGGTCCGTAGCAAGAGAACGCTGCACATAACAGCCATGTCCGTCAAACGGGAAGAAAAAAAAAAGAGAGAACAAACTGTCACTCTTTAACTTGTAACTGCCAATGATAAATAAGGTTCTATCATCACCTGGACATTCTTTTGGACATTTGAATCCTCTGATGAATCTTTCATGGACAGCTTCTGCAGCCTCTTCTCGGACCTCTTCAGCAAGTCCGTTATCTCATATGTGAGAACCTCGATTGCTCGCTGATCGTCCCTGCCATCGCCAAAGGATGGCATCAAGGCTTTGGTATGTGCCTTAGCCAACTCCACCATTTTCGTCCTTGCCCGCTGCATGTTTGCAGATATCTCTTCGGAAACATCCACCCAGGCTGGGGGTAGCCCGACTGTCACAGCACCTCTACTGGAACACAGAAACCAAATGTCAGTGCTGCATAATTCATCTTATCAGCAGTGAGGCGTCCAACCAGTGACACATCAATGAAAGTAGTTAACCTTCGGAACCCACCATTACTGCTTACTGCCTAAGCCACTGATCACAGATCAACATGTTATAATAAGTCTTTCATCGCTCGATCTACAGTGGAAATTCCCATTCCCTAGCAAGGGGAAATCACCTGTATGCTACACAGGTCGCTGCCTCGTAGTAATGAGCTAATCCGCAAAGGCTTGATTAGACCAGACAAACTAATGGGCGAGTCTAGTGATCTGCAATTCCAACCAATTCATTTGAATCACAGGTCAATTAGTCCACTCTATTTGTTAGCATGGTCAAATGCCACTCGGTCTAGTTAAGAAACTCCCATCTCGCAACCCCGCGTCGCAGCTAGCTACCTCTACTGATTCCCACGTACCCACACGGGGCACAGACCAGACGAGATGCGAGAGGGGTGTTGGAGTCGGATGGGGTGGTGGCACCTGGAGGCGGAGGGGTCGTCAGTGATGAGGGGAGCGTAGGGGCGGTCGGAGCGCAGCAGCGAGGCCATCTCGATCACCGGCCCTCCCCCTCCCCCGCCGGACGGCGCCGGCGCGCGGACGTGCCGCAACGCGTCGCGGTACTTGCGGTAGAGCGGCGTCCGGTTCCGCGTGGCCATGCCGCGGGCGCGAGTGGCCGGGCGCGTGAGATCTCGACGGCGGCGAAGGCATTGAGGTGGGCCTCGGACTGAGCGACGCCGTGGGGGGACGACACGGTGGGAGACGAGTCGAGGGTCATTCCCTTTCCCTCCACCACCAAGGAAGCAAGGACGATACGAACCGGGCCGGGCCTTTGGGCTATGTTGAATGGGCCTAGATGGGCTGTCAAGGAGTAAGTGTGTGAGATGGGTTAGCTGTCTAATGGGCTATCAAGGTGCAATGCTTCTTTGTTTTTTTTTTTTATTTCATTCATGAAGACCGAAGCTTCTTCCTAGTAGTCCTAGATGAGAGAGAGCGAAAGCTTCTGTTGCATCCCACAAGAATTCTGCAGAATCTTGGTTCTACTTTTGGGCTTGTTTCTGTTCATAATATTGGCAAATTGTCGACTTTCCCGGTCTCTCATCCTCTGTTGAATTGCCATTTTTGTATGAACGAGGAAGGGACTGATGCAACCTATATATATTTTTTAGCAGTGTACAGTGAGTCAGCATATTGCACAACCAGAAGAAAGCAGATGGATTTGAGTTGCTTTCAAGCTTTCATCAATCCCTCTCTGTATGTGTGAACATTGCACAACCAGAAGAAAGCACATCGGTCTGGATTGAAGCTTGCACCGATCCCTGAATGATACGGCGTTGCCGCCGTGGAGTACGCAGGGGAGAACGGAGAAGGAGCTGAGACTGGGAATTGGAACGGAGAGGGTAGTGAGGCGCGGTGGAGTTATCGCTGGCGGCAGCGGCAGAACCGCACGCAGCCACCGTCGAAGAGGAACCCCACCCGCTCGGGAGGTTCTATTCTTCTTCGATAACTGATTACATCCTTTCTAAGCCACCTTTACATTTCAAGTGCTTTCCTGACAAACCAAGACTAAGATCCTAAAAATCCTACTAACTTATTGACTTCTAAAAAACAACTAGAGGCGTCTTAGCCACTGCTAGAAGTGGCACACTGCCCGCGCACTTGCATCGCTGCCCACTGAAAAGAGTCAACAACATTTCCCTCCTCCCCAACAAATAGCTCGTCATGCATGAAATGAAGCAATGGATAAGCGCTCCTTAAAGTCAACGATGGGCTCCCAAGTAGCATCGGTGGTGCGACCATCCCATCGCACCAAGAGCTCCCAGCGCCCTCGGTTGAGACGAGCTCGAACCACTTGAGAAGGAGTAGGAACCACACGTCCCCGAAGAATGGCTGGCAGAGGCATGATTGTAGCAGGTGGAGCGCCGTCGTACTTTTTCAGCAAAGCTACATGAAAGACATCATGAATGCGTGCCTTCGAGGGCAGCATGAAGCGGTAAGCCACAGCCTTGACCCGCTCAACCACCGATAGGGCCCAAAATAGCGTGGAGCAAGCTTGGAAGGGGAGGCGGATGTAATGCCCACTGGTGTCCTCCGATGGAGGCGAGCGATGACCCAATCACCAACAACGAACTCCACATGGCGACGCTTCTTGTTTTGGTGCTCCCTCATGGTGTCTGAGCCAAGGTGAGGCGTTCACGAATCTCTGCCGGGGAAGGTGTCACGCAGTCACGAGTGACGATCCACAGAGCTACCACAGGTCGGCGCTGGAGTGTAGGACACAAGGGCGGTGGTGGTGCCGCCAGACCACCTCAAAGCGCCCGTGGCCGAAGTCTTGATTGGTACGAAGTGTTGAAGCGATTACTCGCCCAAAGGCATGCATGCGCAGCCATGAACGAGGGCGATCACCGACTAGGCACCGCAGTACGCGACAATGATTCGGTTGGTGACTTCGATTGATCGTCCGTCTCGGGATGAAAGGCCAAGCTCGTGAGGAGCTTGACACCGCCAACTTTTGAGCAGTTCCCTCGAAGTGGTGGTGAAGACCGTGTCGCGATCACTGACAATCGAGCACGGAAAGCCGTGGAGCCGGACGATGTTGTCGAAGAAGGCCCGAGCGACAGACTGCGCGGAGTAGGGATGGCTCAAAGCCACAAAATGAGTCATCTTGGAAAAGCGGTCGACGATGGTTAAGATGACCGACTTCCCGCCGACTCGTGGAAAGCCTTTGATGAAATCCATGGCAATGTCGCTCCAGACATGGGTCGGCACCGGTAGGGGCTGTAGCAGACCAGCCGGGTGGAGATGGTCCGTCTTGTTGCGTTGACAGACGGCGCACCCCCGAACAAAGTCGCGGACCAGCCGATGGGCACGGCTGTTGTAGAAGGAAGCCCGCAACCAATGGAGAGTTTTCTGGACACCCTCATGGCCGGCCTCATGAGCATCTCGGAGCAGTTGCGGCCACAATCTGGAGGTCTCTGGAACTAAGACACGGCCATTGTAGAGCAGCAAGCCGTCGACGAGCTACCAGCCGTCCGTAGCCTGTTTCTGCAAAGAAGCCGGTGGCGAAGGTTCGAGTGTCTTCGATCATCCTGCAGCCAAAGACGCGAGGTATCAAAGTCGGTGAAGAGGGGCCCGGAGAGAGCCAGGAGCGCGTCTACGACGGTGTTGAGCTTCCCAGCGCGGTACTCAATCGTGAGGTCATAGCCGAACAGCTTGGACACCCACGTGTGCTGAGGGATCGTCGTCAGGCGTTGGTCGAGGAGGAACTTGAGGCTCCAGTGGTCGGTTCGGATGGTGAACGTCCGACCCCAGAGGTAAGGGCGCCAATGACGGACAGCCTTGACCAGCCCAATGAGCTCGCGCTCATAAGCTGGCAGCTTGGCATGGTGAGGAGCAACTGGCCGGCTAAAGAAGGCAATGGCGCCGTCACCCTGGTGCAGCACAGCGCCAAACCCAGCGCCAGACGCATCGTAGTCCACAACGAACCGCTTGGTGAAGTCTGGAAACGAACCGCTTGGTGAAGTCTGGAAGCTGAAGGAGAGGCGCAATGATCAGCGTAGTCTTGAGGGCGAGGAAAGCTGCTTTGGCCTCCGTTGTCCAGTTGAAGGCCTCCCTCTTGAGGAGAGCAGTGAGTGGCGCTGCGACACCACCGTACCCCGCGATAAACTTCCGGTAATAACCGGTGAGGCCGAGGAATCCGCGCAGCGCCCGGACCGAGCGGGGTTGTGGCCACGCCTCCACCGCAGCGACCTTGTCAGGATCCATGGCGACCCCCTCGGCTGTGATAATGTGACCGAGGTAGGCCACAGATGGCTCGCCGAAGGAACATTTGGAGCGCTTGGCGAAGAGATGATGGTCGCGCATCTGCTGCAGCACAGCCTTGACATGTTGTAAGTGCTCAGCCCACGAGTGACTGTAGATTAGAATATCATAAAAAAACTAGAACAAAGCGGCGGATGAATGGTTTGAGCACATCGTTCATGAGAGCCTGAAATGTCGCCGGTGCATTGGTGAGGCCAAAGGGCATGACGAGGAACTTGAATTGCCCGCAGTGGGTCCGGAAGGCATTCTTGGCGACGTCGTCCGGATGCATGCGCACCTGGTGGTACCCGCTGCGTAAGTCGATCTTGGTGAAGAAGCGGGCACCTTTCAGCTCATCCAGGAGCTCGTCGACCACCGGGATCGGGAACTTGTCTTTCACGGTGGCGTCGTTGAGGGCGCGGTAGTCGACACAGAAGCGCCAACTGTCGTCGTGCTTGCGGACGAGGAGCACCGGGGAGGAAAATGGTGAGGTCGACTCCTTGATGATCCCTTGGCTGAGCATGTCCTCGCACTGCCGCTCGATTTCGTCCTTGAGGAGCTACGGGTACCGGTACGGGTGCATCGCCACAGGTGGGGTGCTCGGCAGGAGGTGGATCCTGTGGTCGTGGCGGCGGCAGGCCACGGGGCTCCTCGAAGATGTCGTGGTACGACTGCAGCAGCTCCTCCAGCACCGCACGGGGGTCGGCGATGACGCGGGCGGGCACACCCCGGCTGTGCACGCCGGTCCAGTGATGGGAGCGGCCGTTGTACCAGAAAGACATCGCCAGGGCGCCAAAGTCCCAGACGATGGGCCCCAGCGTCCGGAGCCACTGGACGCCAAGGACCAGATCGAAGTCGCCCAAGTCAAGCACGAAACAGTCGATGGAGAAGGCCTCCCCACCAATGGTGACCGGAGTAGCGAGGCAGACGCCCGGGCTGCTCACCCGGTCGCCGTTGGACACCATGACGTTGAGGCCGGCGCGCGGCATGACGGTGAGACCCAGGTGCTGCGCGAGCGTGGAGTGGATGAACGTGTGGGTGGAGCCCGTATCCACCAACGCCTGCAGTTGGACGCCGCTCACTGTGACCTGCAGCAGCATAGAATCAACGGAGTTGAGGCCGGTCAGCGTGGAGAGGGATATCTCCAAGTCGTTGATCTCGCTGAGGGGGTCGTCCTCGCCATCCGCCAAGTCCATGAGGAAGACGCCCTTGGCGGCGCAGTTATGATCCTTGCTGTACGGCTCCGGGCAGAAATAGCGCTGCCCACTTTGGCGTTTCTCCTGCATCTCCGCCGTGGCCCCTCCGTCTTGCCATCCTGCACCATGGCGCCAGGGGCAACAGTGGTGGCCGACGCAATTGCCCAACGACTAGAGCCCTTAGGCGTCGCCGAACTGTTGACAGCAGAGGCCTCCGCTTGGCGCTGCTCGAACGCCCGCGCGAGGCTCATGGCCTTCTGAAGATTGGCGGGGTGCTGCATCTCGACGTCATGGGCCAGTGGCTGACCCAAACCTCCCATGTAGAGGTCAATCACCGTCCGCGTGGCAAGGTCGTCGCAGCGCGCGAGCAGGGCCAGGAAGTGCCACAAATAGCCCTCCACGGTGCCTGTGCGGATCAAGGCCTTGATCTCCGCGATCGAGTTGGTGCGGATCAGTGGCCCGAAGCGGAGGTTGACGAAGTCCACGAAACACGGCCACAGAACCATGCCGAAGTCGCGCTCCATCTGGTAGTACCACTCCGCCGCGGTAGCGTCGAGGTGCAAGGATGCCATCCACACCTTCTCATCTTCTGGAACACGATGGTCGCGGAAGAAATTGTCGCATCTATTGAGCCAGGTCAATGGATCCGACTCCCCATTGAA